CTTGAACCGCCTGCGTTGGTTCGTCGAGGCATACGTCTCATTCAAAACATGCCAAGTTGGTAGCTCTAGATGTTCGTCCAATGAAATTATAGAAGAAATTGACCCACTTAGACATGAAGAGCTCGAAAGGATAGTCAGGAAACAAGACTTCCATTTTTCTATACAAAATCTTTCAAATGACATGAGCTTGATTTTGTATGAAATGATACTAGATAAAAAATAAGCTTATTTGATAGTTTTGAATACCATTGTGCAGGTACAAAGAACAATTTGAGTGTAAAACATTCGAAAATTGACCTTAATTATCCCCTTTCGAACCTCAGGTCATTCATAACAACAAGAGCGTCCAGAAAGAAAGGTTATTCGAATGGGCGTAACTACTTGTAATGTCTTATCAGCTTGTGAGAGGGGGTTATTCATGTGTTTGTAACACTTTATAAATAGAAAGCTATGAAGGATAGAGCGTTATTTTCATCATCGGTTAACACACTCCTGCGGTATTCATGGCAAAAACACACGTTTCCCGGCCCGCGCGCTGTACACCAACAGTACACACTGAGTGACCCCGGCGGCCTGTCTGGCATGTCCGACGTAATTGGTTGCTGATAAGATGCGCATCTGGGCACAGACGCAGGATAAGAGCTAGTTTAGAACCATTAGTAGTTAGCCTGATTTTGGAGATCTAGGCTAATATTAACTCTTAGGATCCTGCGTCTGTACTTCTTTTTGTATGTTTGTCACACTCGTGTGACCCTCTTTTTCCAGGGTGCCTTGATAGTCGAAGCAGACTTTGTGCTGTTGAAGCTAGAAAGATGAGCAGAGTAAGTCTGATTCCCTGTAAGGACTTCTCTGTTGACATCCACCCCTAAGCATTCATTAGGCACTTCGATAGCCGTGCGCGAGAACTGGGTCACGGCGGCCGGTAGCAGCCGGTGATTTTGTGTATCGGTTATTCCTTTCGTTTTGCGGGTGTTGTCGGCAATTAGCGGGTGCTTCGTAACCTAACGGGGCACGTGACTTATCGACGCGCTCTTTTTGTAGAGCTTTGGACGCTGAATCCAGTGGTGCCACTCTCATCCGCGTCGGTTTGTGTTTTCGTGGAGAAACATTGGGTTGAAGTTAAGGTAAGTTGAGCTGATTGTCCTGCTTTTATTTATGAATATACCAAAAAATGATGCCAATATACAGTTTAAGCAGCCTTTTTCCCTTAAGAATAATGTATTATGAGTGAGTTTGTTAGGATCCCTTGGAAATGCGAGGTAGCAGAAATGACCACCCTTTCCTAATTAAGGGCTCGACTCGGGACCCAGGCCTAGCGGCCAGTGGGCAGCGCTGGCGTTGGCTGTGAAAGTTAGCCTATTGTTGTGTTTTGTTTTTGATTTGTAAAGCATTATAATCTTACTTTCTTTGAATGCTTAAAAAATCTGTATTGTTAATTGCAAGGAATATTTTTTAATATGTTGTCTCTATTCTTCTTGACATGGATGGTACTTGTGGTGACTAATTTACCTGTTTGTTGTAGTTGTAGTATAGTGTTTAGTTTAGTCTGTCTGTAGAGGTGAAAGTCAGTTAAGGTTAATCCTGTTGTTTTGTTTTTGATTCTTTCTTTCACATGAATATTTTTTTTTAAATGAGCCAAAATGATACTTGTGTTAGTTTTTAAAAAAAATGAAATGTCGTAAAATAAAGAGGCAGTCATAGTGTCGTACTTCATCATGATGATGTTACTGTGAACTTTTTTTTCCTCAGTCTTCTTTTCTTTCATTTTTAATGGACACAACCTCACAATCTTTTGATGTAATTTTTTTGTTTCAGCTATGACAATGTATGCCACCCAGTTCAGGGAGCTGGTGGAAAGCTTCCCCCTCCCTTCAGCTGACCTTGGCGGTCTGTTGAACGGGTCGGTCTTTCGGCTTTTGGAAACAAACGACAGAAAGACAACGCAGACAGCCCACATGATCTTCGAGACTTCAAATCCAGACTGCACCGTCGTTTCCCTGAATGTTTCCATTCGCCGCTTGGCCGACTCCGTGATACGTTTGAAAAAGCGGATCGCCAAGGAGTGGCCTCGCCTGGTAGCCTTCATGAACGAACCGTTCAAGATGCCGACAAAGAAGGCTGCCAGCGAGCCACGTTCAGCCCCACCCCTCCCTGAGCCTGAGGAGGTGGAGGTTTTACCTCGTGTTGAACCTTCTGCCATGACCTTGAAGGGAGACTGCACGAAGTGTGCAGAGCAACGACAAGTACACAGCTCCGCTTCTGCAGTCTTCCATAAACAGGTCATGGACAGTAAGCGCCAAGTGCGCAATATGACAAGGCTGTTCTCTGTACGGCGTGTCAACCAAGAGCGGGCGAGAAGTGCCAAACAGAAAGAGCGCCTCCGCGCACAGTCCCGCTCTTGCCGTGCAGAGAACAAAAAACTCAAGGCACAGGTGGCTACCCTCCAGACAGATTTGTCTGTTGATTGGCGTGCCATGCTGGCGGCACAGAAGAGGAAGACCAAGCAGGTGGAGCGTCAGCTGAATCAGACGAGACTCTCTCTTCGTTCAGAGAGACTACGCTCTGCTGACCTCAGCCAGTACATCTCAAACCTTGAAGCAGATCTCGGCGAGCTGAGAACTGAGCTCGAGGCACAGCAGAGCAAAAACAAGGACAATGTCTCGTCTGTTCTTGGCAAGACGTACACTACGCAGATTCGTAAGTGTATCTACACCTGCTTGGCCAGTCAAGTACCCATCGAGAAGGCTGGGCCTATCATCTCTTACGTGGTAAGCGAGCTCACGGGACATACAGTCAGCAAGGTCCCTTCCTCATCTACGTCTGCCCAAATGGCATATGAGATGGGGGCCATATCAGACTTGCAGGTTGCAGAGGAGCTGTTCAGATCAAGAGTGGCCACTCTGTCATGGGATGCGACGTCTCTGAAAGGTGAGCATGTGAACGAAGTCCACATTTCTGTGGGTGACCGCAAGTCACTCACAATCCAGGTTCAGGGGTTGCCAGGAGGAAAGGCAGAGGACTACATAGCACAAATTTCAAGTTCTCTGATTCATCTGTCCTCTGCCTACGCTCTTTACAACAAAGTAGAGCAGCCCCTGATCTTTGCCGCCTTTCAGAGAGCCATCTCGTCGACCTTGACAGACCGAGCTGCAGTCAACAAATGTGTGACGGACAAGCTGTCGCAGCAGCTCGGGAAGGACCTGGTTCAGCTCAACTGCAACCTCCATCCCCTCGACGGGCTCGCTACCACGGCGAAGAAGACTTTAAGAACGTTTGATTCAGAGAGAGGGATCACTGGCCGGGCATTTGGAGTAGAGGGAACAGCAGCCAACTTGGTGCGCGGCTTGTCTAAAATGCGGTGAGTTTTTATGTGAACCTTCATTGTCTCTGTACACTGCTACATCAACTTGGAAATACATATGTTGTGTTGCTGTGTTCACTTTCTCCGTTTCTGTTTGTGACGACTTTCCTTTTACGTTAACATTTCACATTACTGGAAAGAACTCCTATTAAAATCACACTAAAATCTTTTTGCAAAATGGAATGGTTGAAGCAGAAGACTTCCAATTTTCAAATCTAAAAAGCTCACCCTTTACATTTTAATAATTTTTGTTTTATGATATTTATCTTTCTGTACAATTATCATTTTCTTCAGTTACAACCAGAGGTCAGGAGACCCTAATGGCTTTGTGACCTTTTTAACAAAATCAGGTCTCAGCCCTGGGTTGATGCCGCGCTATGTGGGCAACCGCCTGCACATCCTGTTCCATCTGTCCGGTGTGATATTCTCCAAGAGGCCAGATCTCTTACAGTACTTGAAAAAGTACTGTACCTCTCAGCAGCTACGTTTGTCCCTCCTGAGTGACCTGCAGAATGAGGACATCTCTGTTCAGCTGCAGGCACTTGGTAAGTATTGTCCTGGTTTTTATTTTTGTATTATTCCATGATTTGAATTTTTCACAGATTTGTAGAGCTCTGGGTAAGAGGATACTTTATTACCTTATCCAGTAAGTTGTTGAAGAAGATATAAGAGGCACTGGCAAGTGGGTATCTGCGGCGACAGATTCTTGTATTTTCATGGTTCTGCATGTTTATTTATGTACGAAGGAAAGAAATTGTGGTATTCTTAGCAGAAGTGGATGGTCTCTTATGGTCTGTACTTTTTCAAATTTCAGGCTTATTCGGTAAGCTGCTGACTGGCCCTTGGATGAAGGAGCTGTACTGTGGAGAGGAGGAAATGAGCCATATGGAGGGGACCCCCAAGCTGATACGCTGTGTTGAGAACCTACGCAGCGTAGAAGCTGACCCTTCCATTTTGGTTTCTTCAACTGACTGCCTCTTCGGGGAACCCTTGCAGGACGACGATGAAACACTACGTCAGCTGAGGGCAGTACCTTCTCACCATGCAGAGGTGCTGCCCGAAATCATCAAGAAGCTCGCTGGAGCTTTCGTCGTTCTGCTTGACAGACAGCTTCTACGTTATCTTCAGGGCCCTCTCTCTGAACCAACGCCCAGCCTTCTTGATGTGACTTCTGCCGCTCCTGTGCATAACATGCATTCGGAGCGGACCTTAGGGCGCTTCGATGCTCAATTTCGTCGAGCACCTAACGCCACCATCGGGTTCCTTGACGGAAAAGTGAAGTGGCAATCAAACAAGACAGCAGAGTGGTTGAACAGCAAGCCCTCTGCTGAACAACGTGAGATTGTCTCCTTTGCAATTTCTCAAGGAGCCCGAAATCGAAGCGCCCTCAAACAGAAGGAGCAGGAGATCACCAACGTCAAGCGCCAGCGCCAGGTGGAATTGGCCCAACGGAGGGACCGCACAGATCGGAAGAAGGTGGAGCAGAAGGTCACAGACTTCCTCACAACAGGAACTGAGGGAGACCTTTTCTGTGACCTTTCTGAAGACATGGTCCACCTTTTTCATACCATCAAAAACACTGACTCTGCTGCGGTCAGTGGGGTGAAGTGTACTCACACCTGGGATGTGGATGGAGAGGATGTCGTATTCCAAGCAGAATTGGTACGTTTTGAGACATTCAAGCGGAAGCCTTGCCTCGTAATAGCCTACCAAGAGGACGCCACAACGGCTGCAACAGAGAGCAAAATCCCCGTCTCTGAATTTCTGACAGATGCTCTCTTTAACGATGTGACATTGTTGTAGGCTTCCGCTTGAACATCCTCTCTATACTTGTTCTCCTTGACTCATTAAATTCCTCTTCTGTGTTGCTCTCTAAATTCCACTGGCGGACACTTGTTCTCCTTGACTCATTAAATTCCTCTTCTGTGTTGCCAGTACTCTGTGTACACTGTGTTCTTTGTTCTTTGTGTTGTGTGTAATACTACAGGTCACCAAGCCAAGAGAGAAGTATTAACTCTGTGTTCTGTTGTGAGTCAGCATCATTCTGGTATCATCTTGTCACACGGTCAGCCCTGATTACATCACAAACCTTTTGCCTTTGGCATACCTTGTGTCTGTATCCACTCACATAAAAGCAGCCTTTATGTACCAAAGTATGCACCATTGCTCCAGGAGATAACATGCAAAATTTGAAGCAATTATCTTTAAAAATTTGGAAGTTATGAATGATTTTGTAATTTTTCTGAGCGAAAGTGAGCCAAATCAACATGCAAATGAATTCATTTCTTTCAAAATAAACCATTCACTTACCTGTTGCCCTGTTTATTGTTAATAACAGACAATAATGCCGTGGGCGTGGACCTGAAAAAATGATGCAGTTCTGAGCAGTATTTAAAAAGTTACAGACATATTATGAATTTCTGCCGTCATTTCGGTCACAAAAATTGAGTCATAAATACAAAGGCCATATAGACAGTAAATTCCGATCATCAATTTATCATAACTTTTGAACTAATTAAGATAGGAAGTTGATTCTGGTATCTTTGTAAAGCTCTTGAAAAGCTCTTTTTAATGATGTATGACACATAGGGGTAGTAGTATTTTGAATTTTTTGTCCAAGTGCCTACTTCCCTCACAATCACCTCTCCTCGCAGCTGGCGAGGGATGCGCACGAGCGCTCATTTGCATAAAAACCTTAATGGGCTCTGCACGCGCGCGCTCTGGCTCTTGTTATTGTGGATGTATGCCAGGGGGGCAAGTGCCCCCCTGAAACCCCCCCCCCCCCCACTATCTTGAAAAGACATATAATATGTAACCCCCCTCCACACGCAACATTCGCTCGCTTACCCGCCTCGTCGCTGGCGCACAAAGCAAAGTGTCCCGCGGAACTACTTTTCCGCACGTAGACAACTGAGTGCGTGGTTTCGTTAGGCGCGCGTAGTAATCATGCGTGTTAATATTCACGTATACCTGGCAATACATCAGTTTCAAAATGGCTGCCGATGGAACGGGAAGGCAATTTAAAGAGCGCCCAGAATTGAGGGCAAGGGGGGAAGGGGAAGGGGAAGGGGTAGGGCCGGGTAGGGTTTGGGTTAGGGTTAGGGTTAGGCCTCTTCTTTTTTATAGTCACTCAAGTCACTGTTTGGATGGAGTGGTCGCTCCTTACGGGCGTAACTTACGGAAGTCCTGATTCTAGTGTTAGTCAATTTACCTTGTCCACCGCCGACCTGAAGTCGCTTTTAGTCCACCCATTCACGCCCACAGACATCGAAGGACAACGACAAAGCTGATGACACATCACTGCCACGTCGTTTTGAAACTGCATGTCGCGCGCAGTGCAGATCAATGCTTTTTAACTGCGAACCAAGTCTAAAACCCTCCTGTCTAGAATCTACCTACCGTTTAACCCCGTCAATGCCATCGCTGTTTTCGTGAGCATCTCACAAAGAATAAATACATATCTAGAATTACTAAATAATGGGGTGTGAGTGGATAAAACTGCATTCCTACGTCGTGATGGATGATGGAATGATGAAAAGATGGAAGGACGATGACTGATGCCGCGTGCGTCCTTCAGGCCTTCCGGTCTCACAACGTCAACAGTCAACAAAAAGGACAAAGAGAGATTGCCAGGCAGGCCCGCCGCGCCAACACGGCTTTGCCAGACATGTCTCCGGTGTGAGGCTCAAACGACCAACAAATTAATTCGGACCCAAATAGATACTTATGTAGTTATTTGAAGCCAAATTTTAATACTTCTGTAACAGTGATAATTATTCTTTCTTGTTTTATTTGTTTGTTTTATGCTTGTTTTCAAAGCGCACAAATGTATAGAAGGTGGGTTTTATTTGTCTTGGTCGCATACAGTGGCAATGGTGTTACAAAGGTCCTATTCTGCACTCGCCCATCATACGACAAACGAGAACATAAAACTACATATATTAGGCTTATAATATATATATATATAATATGCAAGTACGACATTATTATTCTGTCTTATATCACAGCTCGTCCAATTCAAAAGCATCGTGGTTTATTGCAGATAACTTTTGACAGGCGGCACTGATTTCAACCCAACTTTTACTAGATCTAGATCTAGTAATCGTGTCTTGCAATGTTACTGGCATGTATTGTTATTTTTTAAATTCTTCTTCTTCTTCTTCTTCTTCTTCTTCTTCTTTTTCTTCTTCTTCTTCTTCTTCTTCTTCTTCTTCTTCTTCTTCTTCTTCTTCTTTTTCTTTTTCTTCTTCTTCTTATTATTTTCATGGTCTGCACATGGTAGAGCAGTAGGCCTACGGGGCTGCAAGTCAGACAGACTCTGATCTGATCTCTGGTGTTATTGCACTGTAGTTGGGAGCAGCCAGAGTGGGTGAGGGCACTAAATTGTGTTCCATAATTTATAAATACAGAAATCTATATTATGCCCCCCCCTCCCCCCAAGGCAGTTGACTGGTTGGGGTGTCTTTAGGCCATTCCCAAAGGGGGAATATTAACATGTTCTTATGCACAGTAGAATTGTAAATAGGCTGATTTATCAATGTCATGCTCATACTGTGCCGCAACAACATAGGGGGAACTGCTGCTGCTTTTTCTTTCCTCATATGTAGCCTAAAATCGTCATTTTTCCTCTACATCTTTCGTATATTTGTCACTCTTGTGAACTGCTAATTCCGGGGTGCCCTGATAGTCGAAGTAGACTTAATTTGTGCTGTTGAGGCTAGAGAAGTGAGCAGAGTAAGTCTGATTCCCCCGTTTGGACTTGTCTGTTGACATCCGGCCACTCCTTGGCACAATATGACCGCATGCAGTTGCTAGCGCCATAAAACCTTACTAAAACATAAATTAAATCATTAATCTGAGCTCTTGTCAACACTTTCATCTTTTCTTATGTTATTATTTTATTTTTTTTTACCCGTTCTTCATTAGCATTTGGAACCAAAAGAGAATCACAAGCCAGATGAAAGGGCACTTTCGTGGCCTAGAGGTTAAGGTGTTCGCCTCTCATTGAAAGGTCCCGGGTTCGAAAATTTTCTTCTCTAATATGCTCTCCTTTCCCCTCCTTTCCTGCTCTCTACCAATGTTCTGTCGTCTGCTTTCTGTCCCCACGCCATCACCTCCTTTGCCCTCTCCTCTAGGCTCCGGACTCTTTCTACAGCCTTTCTACACCCCTTGGCTCCTTTTTCTTGCTGCTGTCTTTCAGATACACCCCTGGTCTTCTGGCAGGAGAGATCGACACCTAGCCTCCTCGTACAATGACGAAAAATCTCGGAGGTCCCGTGTGCAAGATGGGCATGTTAAAGATCCCTTGGTGGTCTAAAATCGATAAGAGTAGGCTTCGGCCGCCACCCGGGCAAAATTAAAAATTTCCTACCATCTGCAAAAGGCTAATGTGTCTCGCGCGCTCATATTATGACCTTATGCAGTCTCCGAGTGAGAGAGGTCGGCGAGGCGAGGAGGCATTTATTCTATTAATCTATGATCGATGAGACACAAGACAACAGAACAAATCGCACAACATCGATCACTACATTTTCTTTTCTTCCCAACACACATCTTCCAAAGTAGCCAATATTACCTTCAACACTGAACAGAAAGAGAATGCCCAGCTGGTAATTAAAGCCAAAGGAAACCTGAGAACTTAAAAGCGATCAAAGGGACCATTACGGCATAATATTACGTCATGTTATGTCTTGTTACCTTCATTTAGATATATCTACCCAGGTGTGTATAGTATGCGTGATAATTATACCCAGACAAAGTAAGGAGGGGACATTGAGCGCAAGCTTGCCGTACGTGCTATTGATCGACAGTACTTTCACTTTCAGAATGCGAATGTGCTACGTTTTAAAAAAACCGACTGAAAAAAATAATAATGAGGGAACATTCCAATTCTATACTTCAGCAATTTCCGAATTTTTTTCCGCCATAGTATGCTGAACTTTTTAGTCCCGATACTCGTATTTGAAGAGAAAACTTGTCCCGAGTGATTATTTCATCAAAGATAGGTTGAAAAAAAAAAAAAAAGAAGCGTCACAATATTTCAGTACTAAAAAATCGTCCTTGTCTTCCAAGTTTCATCCATACACAGTGCAGTAGGAGGGGATTAGACGTGGGGGTTTAGGCTGATAGTTCCAGAGGTTCCAAGTCTGCTTCACATAGCATCATGTCCGAGGAATCTTTTACAGTCGAGGATTTTCTGTTTTCCATTAGTGTCACAAACGCACTAATTTGCCTGTCCCTATCACTTAGCATGTTGTTCAATACCTTCAACTTAGTCGTGTTAGCCAAGTTAGGTTTCAAAGATTCCGTCAATATCTGTTTCTTTTCGCTCGCTGTTTCAGATCACCTGTTAGTCGTAGCAGGGTCTTCAGGTGTTTCAGTATTCTGTGTCTTCAGCTCCTTGCTGCAGAGTTGGTCGGTGAACTCCTTCGATCTCTCTATCCTCTTTGTTTACTACGGCCAAATGTTTCTGGACATTTCTATTCTCATTACAACGTTCATCAGCGTCCAAAGATGTTGCTGTGTGGCTCTGCCGCTACGTTTTAAAACTGTTTTCACGAGGAAGAGAAGCGTCTTTGTCCTGCTTGGTATCTGGGCGTACGGTATCTCCAGCTACCTACCCGTATTGGTCAAGCAAAGAATGCACTGGTCAGTTGACCCTCAGACAAACTCCAGCATGTTAGTTATCTGGAGAGCTCCAGGAACGGCTTCTGCTTTGTCCTTCATGGACGTGGTCAACCAAACCTTCCTGGGTATAGCCTCCGAAGTTGTGGTCATCGTCTGCCTCGTTGTCCTAACTCTGGCCTTGAGGTCCACGTCACAGTTTAGAAGATCGATGATGTCGGCTGCGACTGTCCCGGGTACCGCCAAGACGGGGAGCAAGCTGAGCTCGAAGGAGGAGCAGGTGGTGAAGACGGTGACGGTGATATCTGTCGTCTTTGTCTGCACCAACAGCGCCGCGGTCTTCCTGGCAGTGGCCCGTCTGTGTGTGCCGGACTTTGACCTCTACAGACGATTCCACAACATCTTCCTGGTGTCGCACAACACAAGAGCGCTGGTAGAATATGCTGGACCATTTCTGAATTTCCTGTCTTATTTCTTTGCAAACACAAAGTTCAGAGAAGAGTTTTACAAGCTGCTGCACTGCCAACGCCAAAGTGCATTATCGAAAAAGAACGGACTGACATAATATTTTAGAAACCGACCGAAACGCTTCCTAAAAGTATCGCTGCTTTGGCTCTTCACAACCATTTCCACAACAGAAATATTAATAGTATACATCATATTTTATACATGTACATATAGAAATCTATTATTATATATATAAAAATCGACACAACTCGGAAATAGAATCCGTGTCTCCTGCGTGAATGTCAACTGAAATCTGAGACCTCTGAACATTCTTGTCATTAACAAACATCTGAAATCTGAGCCATCTGAAAAGTCATGTGATTAACAAACAACAAACATGAGATGTCTCCGCAAAACCATCAACTTCACCAGAAGAGACCGTATAAGAAACAAAACTATACGTCTATAAATTGGAATACCACCAGTAATAACATTCATAGAACGTCAAAGAGTCAAATGGTTTGGACATCTAACTAGAATGCCCCAGAATAAACTAACGGTTAGAGCTTACAGCACCCGAGAATCCGGCTTCAAATCAAGAGGAAGACCAAGAAAGACCTGGCTGGATGAGGTTAAAAAGGTCTTGGGACAACATAACATATATCTATCACAGACGCTACACACCTAGCACAGGACCGAAACTTACACATCCCCTCGACACCATAAGGATACAAGAGGAAGGAAAAAGTCAAAGTCAAAGTAAACGAACGACTGAAATCTGATTCCTCTGAATATTCATTTGATTGATAAACAACTGAAACTGGTCAAGGTGTTTCAATATCGTGGCACCCGTTTTACTGAAAGCGGATCCAGCAATTGAGAAATAAAAATACGAACTCAAAAGGTTCATATTGTCACCTACGAGCTCGCACCCCTTCTACTTCTACATGTATCTCATAAAGACATAAAACATAGACACAAAGAGTTAAACAATGCGTCAATGTTTGTACCAACGTTTGGCTACATGTGTCGGACCTGATCGTTACATGCTGTTGTTGTTGATGATGATGTTGTTGTTATTGTTGCTAATGATGTTGTTGACGTTGTTGCTGTTGCTGTTGTTGTTGGTGTTATTGTTGTTGTTGTTGATGTTATTGTTGTTGTTGTTGTTGGTGTTGTTGTTGTTGTTGTTTTTGTCGATCCAGCAACAGCTGGGCTTCGCCCTTCTGTCCAATGCCATGTAATGATAAGTGCCGGTTTGCTGCAGTTGCTGTAATGTTTTATAGAGTGTGTTGTTAATGTTTGGTCTCGGAGGGAGAAGGGTAGCTCTGATGTCGTTTAGGTCTGTACAGAGGAACAGGTGATAATCCAGTCTCATATGTATAGATCTAGTCACACAAGGGACACATTGGGGGAAGTTCTGGTTTTATTCTGTTCAGGTGGAAGTTGAGCTGTATATGTTCTGTTCGTAGGCGGAAGATCGTGGTCTGTTTCTCTCTCTGCAGGTAGTTGATATTGTCATTTCGTTTCATATGTTTGAAAACTGCTCTGTCTGTCTTTCCCAAGGCCCACCTGTTCATCCAATCTTGTTTGTTGTTGCTTTTGGTGATTTGTTTTGCAGTGTTGTATGACGTTGGAATGTCAGACCGTTCCTGTCTAGATGCATGTACCTTTTTGGCGAGTGTGTCTGCTCTGTCCTCCTCAATTTGTGTGTGAGTGTCCAGGAATCCACAGTACCACTAGATTGATTTCACAGGATGTTGTCAGATAATGAGAGGCAAACAGTATACACACACATATATACATGTGTATATATATATATACATTTGTTTGTCACAGGCCCAGTTTGTCACAGGTCCAGATTGTCACAGGCCCAGTTTGTCATAGGTCCAGATTGTCACAGACCCAGTTTGTCACACACACACACACACACACACACACACACACACACACACACACACACACACACACAAGTACTCACGGCTCTATCCGGGTGACCAAACTCGATCTTGAGCTGGCCCATAGCCTTGATGATGGCGATCATGGACTGTATGGCGTTACTGTACACCACGGGCTTGTACTGCAGACACTCCTCCTGGGAGTAGCCCTTCTCGTGAATGATTCTGTGGGCGGAGACAAACACCAAACAAACATGTTCATCTGCTACTTGTTCTCGGATAAACTTTAAACGTTCGTCCATTTGCGGGTAATCAAAAAGAAGCATATAGGATCATTTTATATATATATA